CATCCGTGTGCAACAACAAGGCATAATTCCCCGACGGAATGTCGGATGGGATCTTCCATTGATAACACACGGGCCAATTACAATCGGCCAGATCCGTTTCGGCATGAAAGTGAATGGCCGCGTAGTCATCGGGTGCATGCCGCCAGCACATTTCTCGTCCACTCCAATTGGATCCTCGTACGCCTCGCGTAGGACAATTGACGACTGTGCCGTGTAGCTTGTGTGGGCCAAAGTCTTGCACGGTTTGTGTGGAAATGCCGCGTCCAAAATGCCATTGGGCATCGGGAGGGTGCGCCTTCGCCTGCATGACGGCATGTGTTCCAATATGTAACTCTGGAAATCCAGGAGTGGTCCACCATAACCAAGGGTGTTCCATGCGTCCTGTAAAGTGATGGATGCACACGGGAGGTTGTGTTGGTGTGGAGCTCTTTTTGGCTGCCAGGTAGAGTGTCGTCTCCTCGCTAGTTGTACTCTGTTCCAATGAGATTTCTTCCTTGACAGATTCCCCTTTTCTCCCCTTGGAAACACCAGCAGAAGAACCACTGCCATCCCTGGTCAACCAATTCCAACCCACCAGTGCCTCCCTCTTTGATTCGTCTTCCCTTAGTAGAGCAACGCTACAATAGATTTGAATCCAGTGATTCTTGGGAAGGACTCTTTGGGAACAGCAGAGTGTTGTAGTAGTATTGCTGCTGCTTGTTCCAAACTGAGCACACAAATGCCCTTTTGGGTTGATGTAGACCTCCAAGACGTTTTCGACGAATGCAATGGTTTGTTGTTGCTGTCCAGTTGGAAGAAGAGTCGGCATGATGGCAACGGCAAAGGTCATATCTTTTTCCAACGCATGCAGTGGCAATGGAAGTTCGGCATGAGATCCTCGTTGTGTCGCGCAAGGGCCCGGTTCGTTGACGCAGTCAATTTCCGCATCACGAATGGGGACCGTTTGAATGCCAGGTCCTGGGTTGGTGTGAGGATCGGCGCTAATCACTCGTACCACGCTGGTTTGGACCTTGTTGTTTTTCTTGGCTTTTGTTGATTCATTATGGGAGACATGAAACGAGATGGTTTCACCAGGCCGTACAGAGAGCCGATCTGCGTAGCCCGTCAAGGGGATGGTCATGACTATGCAGGTGAGTGCTACTGGTACCGTGTGGATGCTTCGTCCTTCAACTCATAGTCGAAGGGCAAGAGACAAGAGAAGGAGCTCTGCTCAATGATTCCATCGGTCGGCTGGGCTGTGACCGTCGGTCAGCATCTTTTGGATCTTTCGAAAGATTTAATGAAGACACAGAGCCCATACGTGACTCGTATGCAAGGTATAACGTCAAAAGCCTTCTAAGTCTTCTTCCTCCGTCTGGTACCATGTTGGCCAGGTCTCATCATCTTTGCAGGTTGGTTGAATGCTTTTGCGTTGCTGCGTTGCTCTCCCCTGAAACCAACAACGAGCAAGCTCAAACCACATAGTAACCCGTTACAAACTTTATACTTGTAGCAACAGAACAATAAGGCAAAGATGCAAGGATCTCAGCCAGTTGCTTTGATGGCAATGCTCATCTTGGTCATGACTCAGTTGCTGCTGGATGAAAGGTTTCTGTCCGTCTTTGCAAACACGCACAGGGCACCTCAAGAGAGCCGTGGGCTACAAGCAATAGAGGAAACACACAGCAATGTTGAAAGTGATGGCACTGATAGCAGCAATAGCTCTTTCCATGATGAATGTGCTTTTGCTCGCAATGCTACTTTCTCCAACAAACCACCAACCACGACTGTCATTGTTACTTCTAACCTGATCCCCACCATGCCCTCCACTGCGGTATTGGAGGACACACTGGACTCATTATCCATGCTCATTGGTCTCGAACCCAACACACCCATCATCATCGCAGTGGATGGAATCCAGCCTCGGCTCGACACACCTGAAAACCGACAGCGACTTCAAGATTGGGTCTCACGAGTTCGCTCCATGTTCAAATGCCATCCCA